AAGAATTCTAAAGAGCGAGAGATGCTGGCGTAAAAATCAAATGAAAAAGAATTCTAAAGAGCGCGATATACTAAAGTACAGATCAAATGAAAAAGAACTCTAAAGAGCCCGAGATGCTAACGTACCAATCAAATGAAAAATAATTCTAAAGTGCCCGAGATACTAGCGTAACAACAAAATGAAAAACAATTCTTAAGTGCACGAGATGCTAACTTAACAATCAAATGAAATAGAATTCTAAAGTGTGCGAGATGGTAGCGTAACAATCAAATGAAAAAGAATTCTAAAGTGCGCCAAACGCTAACGTACCAATAAAATGCAAAAAGAATTCTAAAGTGCGCGATATGCAAACGTATCAATCAAATGAAAAATAATTCTAAAGAGCGCGAGATGCTAACGTACCAATCGAATGAAAAAGAATTCTAAAGTGCGCGATATGCGAACGTATCAATCAAATGAAAAAGAATTCTAAAGAGCGCGATATGCGAACGTATCAATCAAATGAAAAAGAATTCTAATGAGCGAGAGATGCTGGCGTAAAAATCAAATGAAAAAGAATTCTAAAGAGCGCGAGATGCTAGCGTAACAATCAAATGAAAAAGGATTCTAAAGTGCGCGATATGCAAACGTATCAATCAAATGAAAAAGAATTATAAAAAGTGCGCGAGAAGTTAACATAACAATCAAATGAAAAAGAATTCTAAAGTACGCCTAACGCTAACGTACCAATCAAATGAAAAGGAATTCTAAAGTGCACGATATGCGAACGTATCGATCAAATGAAAAAGAATTCTAAAGAGCGAGAGATGCTGACGTAACAATCAAATTAAAAAGAATTCTAAAGTGCGCGATATGCGAACGTATCAATTATATGAAAAAGAATTCTAAAGTGGGCGAGATGCTAACGTAACAATCAAACGAAAAAGAATTCTAAAGTGGGCGAGATGCTAGCGTAACAATCAAACGAAAAAGAATTCTAAAGTGGGCGAGATGCTAGTGTAACACTCAAATGAAAAAGAATTCTAAAGTGTGCGAGATGCTAGTGTAACACTCAAATGAAAAAGAATTCTAAAGTGTGCGAGATGCTAGTGTAACAATCAAACGAAAAAGAATTCTAAAGTGGGCGAGATGCTAGTGTAACAATCAAATGAAAAAGAAATCTAAAGTGTGCGAGATGCTAATTTAACAATCAAATGAAAAATGATTCTTAAGTGTACGAGATGCTAACTTAACAATCAAATGAAAAAAAAATATAAAAGTGTGCGAGATGCTAACATAACAATCAAATGAAAAAGAATTCTAAAAGTGCGCGAGATGCTAACGTGACGATCAAATGAAAAAGAATTCTAAAAGTGCGCGAGATGCTAGCGTGACAATCAAATGAAAAAGAATTCTAAAAAGTGCGTGAGATGCTAACATAACAATCAAATGAAAAAGAATTCTAAAGTACGCCAAACGCTAACGTACCAATCAAATGAAAAAGAATTCTAAAGTGCGCGATATGCGAACGTATCGATCAAATGAAAAAGAATTCTAAAGTGCGCGATATGCGAACGTATCAATCAAATGAAAAAGAATTCTAAAGAGCGAGTGATGCTAACGTACCAATCAAATGAAAAAGAATTCTAAAGTGCGCGAGATGCTAACGTAACAATCAAATGAAAAAGAATTCTAAAGTGCGCGAGATGCTAACGTAACAATCAAATGAAAAAGAATTCTAAAGTGCGCGAGATGCTAACGTACCAATCAAATGAAACAGAATTGTAAAGTGCGCGAGATGCTAACATAACAATCAAATGAAAAAGAATTCTAAAAAGTGCGCGAGATGCTAACATAACAATCAAATGAAGAAGAATTCTAAAGTGCACGAGACGCTAGCGTACCAATCAAATGAAAAAGAATTCTAAAGTGCGCGAGATACAAACGTAAAAATCCAATTAAAGAGAATTTCAAAGTGTGCAAGATTGTAACATAGCAGTCCAATGAGAGAAAATCCTAATATGCTCGAGATACTAACGTAACAATCCAGTGAGGAAGATTCCCGGAGGTCGCGAGATACTAACATAGCAAACAAATGATAAAGAATCTTTAAAGTGCGCAAGATGATAACGTAACAATCCGGTTAAAAAGTATCTTAAAAAAAGTAAAGAATTATAACATAACAACTGAAAGTAAGACAATCCTAACAATGCACAAGATACTTACGTAAAAATCCAACTAAACACGAGAGAATTAAGTCTAAAGCGCGTGAGAAAGTAGTGTAACAATTAAATGAAAGAGATTCCTAAAGGTGCGCAAGATACTAACGTAACAATCCAATAAAAGTGATTCCTAAACGTGAGCTAGATACCAAAGTGGCAGTAGCATGAAAGAGAATCCCAAAAGTGCGCAAGATCGTGACATAACGATCAAATGTACGTCAATCCTAAAATGCACGAGATACTAACATAACAATCCAGAGAAAGAGAATCTTAAAAGTGCACGAGATACCAACGTAACAATAGCTAGAAGAGAAAACTTAAGTGCGCAAGATAATAACGTAACAATCGAATTTCAGTCAATCTTGAAATGCACAAGATATTAACAAGACAATCCAATGAAAGAGAATCCTATCAGGGCACCAGATACCAACATAACAATCCAATGAAAGACAATCCTAACAATGCACGAGACACTGGCGTAACAGTCCAATTAAAGAGAATTCTAATGTGCGAGATCCGAGCGTAACAATCCAATGAAAGAGAATTCTAAAGGTGGTGCGCAAGATACTGACGTAACAATCCAATAAGAGATCTCTAAAAGTGCGCGAGATACTCGAGAGACGAAAAGGATGAAAGAGAATCCTAACTGCGAGCGAGATACTGACGCAACAATCCAATGAAAGAGGATTCTAAAACTGCGGAAAACGCTGACGTAAAAATCGAATGTGAGTCAATCCTGAAATGCACGAGATACTGATGTAACTTTCGAATGAAGGAGTATCCTAAAAGTGCCCAAGATATTAGCGTAACAGTCAAATGAAAGAAAATCCTAACTGTGCGAGATACTAGCGTAACAATCTGATGAAAGAGAATCCTAAAAGTGCACGAGGTACTAAAGTAAAAATTATTTTTAATGTCTTCGTTAGTAAAATATATTAGGAGAGCAGGGATGGTGTGATCCAGTTAGTACAGAAAACAAAGATAGATAAATGACTGAAAAAGAGATTGATACTCCATCAATACAATGAGAATCACTCGCTGTTGCCCCAAAAGTCACGTGCTTCCATAAAAACTGTCATGGCGACTGCTTTTTGTGATTCTTTTAACAATGTTTTGAGTAATATTCCTTTGCGCACTGCACTCTGCCATTTGACTTTGCTACGGGAACAACGGGAAACAACGGGAAACTCTGAATTTCTATCAAAAATAGCAATATTCAGGCTATTTACCTTGCGAAAAGACGTGACAGTTTGTCATACATTAATCCTTGACGTCGAATTTGAACTTCACGGTTAAGCAGCTTCGAAGAAACAGACACAGGCTGCCGCACGGAAGATGCCATATCCAAAGCAATTTGGCTTGAAGCAAAGTGTATACTGACATGGAGTGTCTAGCGAAGACGCTAAAGTTTTTCACAGTTCGTGAGCTCTTTCCACGTGCAAGAGTTAGAGTATAAATGAATATTAATGTTGAAATAAATATTTGAAATTCAAATGAGTTTTCCAACCTTCAAAAGGGGAACGAAAATCACTTCGGTCATTTTCTCTCAATTGCAAAACGAAATGGGTTGACACTGATTTTCAACTTGTTCAAGTTCAAAAGTTAAATATAAATAAGGAGCAAATATTGTAGTACTGTTTGGAAATACAAACTCAAACTCAGGTGAGCTCAGACTATACGACGGGTTTTTTTCTTTGTTTCCCTCTAACATTTGAAGCGAGCGGGGTTTTACTGCACTGAAATCTGTACCCGTGCAGGAGCAAGGGGCTCTAGACCCGTTTCGATGTACGGAAGGTACAGACGAAAGAACGGCACGGCAGTGTTCGGACACTTTCCGATCGGATAACGGGAAGTTTTTTTTTCTGACATCGATAGGAATTACCCCTAGGGCCTTATGAGTTGTTTTATGAAATATGTACGAAAGACTTTTCTCAACTTTTCTTTCTCTTACATCGTTCCCGGGGCCGTTTCCTGTTCCAGAGGCGGGAGAGAGAGATAATCTGGGGCCTGGGATGAGCCATTCTTAGACGAAGGAAAAACCGCCATCAACAACAACACTTAGAGGTGAACTGGGGCACGTTTACATTGCACCATGTCAGGTTGAACATACATATTCTCTATACTATCCTCTTTACATTTCTTAAGGAACTGACAAGGAGAATTTGTCTGACAATCATGAGCTTCTCTAATTCGTGATCATTTCCTTTTTTCTCGTGACCTAAATGTGTCATTCAGGGGTGATATTATGTGGAGAAGTTAGATGCTAGTCTCTCTTAGAGGGTTAAAGGGATAAACGCAAGGTTGAGCCATCCAACGAGCCAGATGACTCACCCTGCCCAAGCTCACTGAGGTTTCAGTGGCATGAGCTACAAGTAAAAATTACAACTACCTTATGGACAGGAGGTGAGTAGGGGGTTATAACCCTTCCCTCCCCTCACTCCATCGTCATCCACTCCTCTCCTGGGTGGAGAGAGTCACTGTGGAGGTGTCTTCGCCAGCAACACACGGTGACACGGTTACGACTTCACTTTTTCCAGCATATTCTCTAAAATTTCCTCCATTTCCTAATGCGCTGACGAAAAGATCGTTTGTAAATCAAGAGCCACTTTAGTTAATGATAATTTCTTCTATTCTCGTGGCTGTAATGTGTGATTCAGGGGTGATATTGTAAGAAGAAATTGGATGACTGTCTTTCTTAAGGGTGTAAGGGTTAACCCTGGTCATTTTCATCCGCTTACCAGCGTACTGGACAGAAGATTCCTTCAAACCCCCTCATAAAACACATCAATACAAACAAGATTTGTACATGATTAGAAAATTTAATTGCACATAGCAGATCAATCACTGTTCATTTCCTCTCATTTCAATCATCTTAATACCGATCTAGGCAAGACTGCCTAGTGAGACTAAAAATGGCTAAAATTAATTCACTGCAACAGCCCTCAGCCGCATAACAATCTATACAAATACAATATTTCAAAGCGCAAGAAAAAAAACCTAGTTTTTATTGTACATTTGTGTGAGGAAAGTGGAGAAAATAATGAAAGCAAAGTGAGAGTCAGCTTTTCTGATCAAAATATAAATAAATTCATGAATAGAAATAGAAAGAACAAAAGACAGATAATATTTCACTTTCAGAAACCAGCCAAGACATATTATATGTTTTGTCAGCAAAACAATCATTGATTTATCAGAGTAATTGTTAATCAGGATTCATTATTTTTACTTAATGACGGCAACCCCGAGGTGCTCTACTCAATTTTCTGTATACACAAGCGACGTATCACTAAAGGAATCAGGTTGAAATCGAAAAAAAGGTTATGATGACAAAGAATTGCCATTCCCATCAAATAGCTGTAAGAAATAAAATACGACAGGTGAAGCAGGATAGGTGCCCCTTTAATTAATCTGTGTGAACTGAATTTCCAGTTCTCAGAACAGCTAGAGTGGTGTTTCTTTATCTGAAGCCCTCAGCTTGAAAGAAAAACTAACAAAGTGCCAAATCCTTTGCACTTTGTAGGTTCAAAAAGAAGTTTAATAAAAGACAAGTAAGAAGAAAAAAATTCCCATTTTGTGCAAACAAGCTTAACATTAGAAACTGCATAAAAATAATACATCTTGAAAATGTATTTGGTTAGCAAACGAAAGTAAACTACACAAAAAACTTGTCAGCCACGACTTTCTAAATGCTGCTGTTTAGACTAGAAATTCAAGTGACAAATGCTCTAGCAAACACTTCAACCAAGGGATCGTTGTTGTTGTTGTTGTTGTTGCTATTGTTTTCTTTTATAAAGCATCACTCAAAAAATTTTCCAACCTTATGTTAGTTAGCAAAGAACAAAAAAGCAAAACTGAAATGGCTCTACTATAAACAGCAAGCTTACATGACTATAACTAACACAATACACGACACTATAAGTGGTAGCTGATTGTTGCCTTTGGACAACAGTTGCATTGGACTTCGTTGTACCCAAACTATAATATGAGCTGCCCTACAAATGGGCAGCAGGGTTGCGTCCAAAGAAAAAGCATGGGAACCACAGCTGTCTAAGATAAAAAGTTCACAACCTATTGCACAAGGTTGAAATTCAAGTCATCAAACCAGTCTTCTTACAAGTCAGTGTCATACCACGTGCCGCCTCGAGGAGGTGGCCCTCCAGGGTGAGCAAGAGGTTGCATGGATGGATCACCATGGTGGAAATCATACCCAGAACCAGGTTCGTGAGAATAGTCCATGGGCTGGTTGTAATCAAACCCGTCATGGGGGTAACCATACCCTCCTGGTGGCATGTTGTAGTTTGGGTCTGGGAAGTCTCCATCCATTGGCTGGAAAAAAAAAAAACAGAAAGAGTGATCAGCATTGGTTATCAAAAAACTCTGGGCTAGAAACTTTCTTGAGCTGTAACATTTTGCAAGTGAGCTCTATATATAGAGGGCTATCCCTGATTGTTCAAAGAGTAGGTAACGCTATCCACTTGAGAAATTTATACCCAGTGGATAACGCAGTGCATTCTACAAACATCACTTGACTGAATAGTGATTTATTCGCTGGATAGCATTATCCATGCTATGAACAACTGGGCCTTGATGGACAGAAAAACTTGCTGGTTACCCTGCAGAGTTTTGCTGTTAACTTTGGTAATGAGATCAAAATGGGAAAAACAGTGAAACCACAGGAAAACACGACACCCACTGAGTGGCATGAAACATTTCTGGGAGTTTTCTTCGGCAGGTTAGCAGCATTTCTGTTTTACTCTGTATCTCAAAGTTACCAAATACTTCAGCATTTATTTTAAAAAAATCTTAACCATTTTCCTCCCACGCCTCACAATTCTTGTAATGTTAGTTCAGAGAATTTTGTATCAGATCAAGTAATAATCCCCAAACTGATATTTTTCTTTATTCTCATCACTTGTCTGTATGATATTGTTTTGATGGTGTAGGGAGAAATTCTGTCTTGGTCACTCATGGGGGGTAAAAAAATATTTAGAAAACATATACAGTACAATGAGAGTGGCTTCTCACCTCAGGCCAGGGAGCATCATCCCGGAAAAGAGAACTAGTCAGTTCAACTGATAATCTCTTCTTGTAATCTTGCGACTTATCCTCAGACATGCGGAAGAGTACAGCAGCAGCATAAGCAGCGATGCCCTCGTTTCTGGAGTGTAACAGGTCAGTTAAGGGTGCTGTTGCATTTTCAGCCTCAATAGCCTCAGCACCTTCCTTGTCTTGTGCAAGTTCACAGAGTACTCCAGCCGCAACACGCTGAATGTTCTCAATTGGGCAATAGAGGAGCTGAAGGGAAAAGATGAAGATGTTGTGATGGAACTGTCACAAAATCAAGAACTTTTTTGGACAAAGTACAAAATGTGTTTGTGTAATGTAGCTATGATTATAAATGAATGTATAATCATTTGTTTCAAGATTAAGAATTAAGTGTCAATTGTAAAGTCTAGGTATATCAAAACATATAGCTTCTTCTTGAAAACATCTATACATTATCTGGCAAACAGGTAACCAGAATACTCAAACTTATCAGATACAAGAAGCTTTCGCCTTGATCTAATGCTAATTTCTCATAAATAATTTCAAAGGAAATATGTAGCAGCTAGAGTGGAGGATTAACAGTAAGATCTAAAGAGGTAAAAAGGGTTAAGACTTTCTCCAGTAACTATGGTGGCCTGTAAGTGTCACTCCACCTAGATTAATGGCATGAAGTGTGTGCCATATGAATCTGAGTGGAAAATATGAGGTTTAATAACTTGCAGGGCAGATGGAGAAAATAAAGTGAGCATGATATTTGTATATCACTGGGTTCAAATAGAGGGGGCAGTTCTAAATCAAACCTTCAACTCCCAAGATCTGATTATTAATTCTCCCCTCTAGCTGCTACACATATCCTTGTAAATTATTTATGAGAATTTGGCTTAAGATCAAGACAAAAACTTCTACCTGATAAGTTTGAATATTCTCATGACCTGTTTGCTGGAGAGTATAAGGATATTACAGGAAGAAGTTTCATGTTGATCACTTCTAGGTGTTTAAGAGTATAAAAAAATATTCCTTGTGAATTGACCAATCACAATGCAAGTACTAACTGAGAGATTTATCAGGAAATAAGTATCATTGTTACAAGTGGTACCTGCACAAAAAGAGGAATGCAGTTGAGACTTCTTATGACAGCTCTGTTGTGTGCCTCTCTGGCCAAAATATGCAGGGCACCAACACAGCCATCAACAATGTCCTCCATTCTTACACTGTCAATTACCACACTCTGTCCTGGTCTCCTCTGCATATCCTGATGGGCTCTCATCATCAGTTGAACGAGCTGAGGCAGACCTCCATGCTCACGGATTGGTGTGTGATTAAGGGGGCATAATGCCAGATTACGCATGAGACCAACAATTGCTTTGATAAGTGGCCAGCGAGAGGGTGGATACAGAAGTTTCACCAAGACTGGCAGGCCAAAGTGAACTCGCACTGCATTTTGGGCTTTCTCAGCATCTTCATGTCGACTCGTCAAGTGGCGCAAGGCACAGCACTGTAAAAGAACAAGTAAGGTTGAGGAAATTGCAATGGATGATTGGGTTGCTTACAAAATGCTAAATCAATACATCAAAGTTACTTAGTCAAAAAATGTTTCAGGGCTGTGGTTTCCAATATTTGTAAATTACCAGTTTGATGCCAAAAAGTAATTCACATCTAATTTCTCCTTATAATATCACCCTTGAATCGCACATTAAGGTCACGAGAATAAAAGAAATGATCACCAATGAAAGAACATCTTGATTGTTAAACAAATTCTCCTTATCACCACTTTAGGAAATGTAGAGAGAACAGTATGGAGAATATGCATACTGATGTTAGGATGGAAAGGGTTAAGAAGCCAGACATCTTACCGCTGGCTCAGTGATCTCTTCCCTGTCTCCTGCCTGCATACATGTCCTCACCAGTGCCTCTATGCCACCAAACCTGTAAACAAGTTGTTTGTTGTTGGGGTTGTTACATGTCAGGTTTGACAAGACACCTGCCGCACATGTCACAACTTGAATATCATTGGATGACAGCAGCTGCACCAACATCTGCAGCAAGTTGTCAAGACCATCCTCCTTGGTTGCAGCATCTGACAGATTGCGCAGAGTCCAGAGGCAGTTCTGAACAAGTCTGTTGCTCTGGTGACCAAGATGCATAGCCAGTGCTTGCATACCTCCAGCCTATGGAAAAATTAGCAAGCTTAGTTTACAGATGGTTCACTAAATCTTAAGACATAGGATTCCGAATCAGTTATCCCTTCAAACTGTCATATATTTCTTATAATTTTAGCTACGAGAATTGAGTGTAAAATCTAAAAATACTCTGTCACTTGCAATCTGCTTTAATCTCCTTAATTCTTTGCCACCAATTTTACTCTTTGATTTAATTTTTGATTCTTTGGTGGTTTTATTGAACTGATATTTTGTAATCTAGCTCAAATTGATGTAGCTCTCATTTCCCAAAAAAAAAGACTCTCAACATCACAACTATGCCAGCAGTTTCCATAACTTTTTCCAAAAGCAGTTTCTGATGGTGTACCAAGCTACTCTGCCAGGAAAGGGGCAGTGAAATTCAACCAAAAGAGTCTGGGTACAAGCTAAACAGCTATACCCTTTTTCAGAAACAAATTTCAATGACTTTTCCAGGACCCAGATTGATTTTTCCTGGACTCCAAATTTCACCTTAAACATTGTCATTCTTAAGATTTCAAAATCAATTCTTGTTGCAGTCAACATACAATTCTTATAAGATAAATTCTGAAAACTTTATTGCTTTAGTTAAACAGATTTCCAAGACTTTCTAGGACCTGCAGTCTTTTACTGATGTTTTCTAGTCCTCAAAAATCTAAAAATAAAATTCCGGGACCCATATGAACCCTAGTTATAAGCAGTGCTAGACTTCCAGTAACCAGCTTTAAAAAAACCTGCAACTAAACTCTTTTCACCCCTCCACAAACATCAAGTCTCTGATATGGTCTTTCACATATTTTGTGGAATTTGAGCTCTGAGTTTTGAGTAAAATAATGAAAAAAAGATTCTCCTTTTAATGCTTTCCCTTAGTCACTTCATTTTTCAGTTTGATCATTTACTCCAAGGAGTGAAAAGATTAACAGCATTGACAAGCAGTATTAACACTCACCTCCACAATCGCTTGCTTGTTGTCAGTGTCCACAGAGAGAACTTTCAGCACACGGCTAGTGGTAAAGAGAAGCTTCTCATATGTATAACTTCTCATGATGCGCACCAGCTCAGCAGGGCCTCCTGATGCTAGGATGATCAACTTGCTTTCTTTGTTACCATAAGCCAGCACATGAAGGCAATCTGTGACAACAATGAACATGGTGCAATATTTTGGTAAGAGACACAAAAAAGCCAGAAATGCTTACTCTCCACACCTTTGCTAAACAATTTCAAAAACTCAGTATAAGAAGTTGTGGTCTACCATTTAAAATGTAAAAGATAATTAAGAGATTCCTTAAAAATCCACCTTTCAAATAAGAATTTTCTTACTTATTGGAAGGTTGAAGGTTTAGTTTCTATTGGCAACACTCCGTTCTTTTTCTCCAAATATGACTGTGTCATTCCCTAAATAACATCTTCTTTTACTTAAATCACCAGGCTTAAAAATGGTGATTTCAATTCACCATCTTCATTCACATCATCATCGCACAGAAGCATCACATGTTGACATTCCTATCCTGGCACCCTGGATGTTGTTAAACAGCCTAGCTCACCACAAGTCTCCTGTTGCTTAGAAGAAGAACTTCTGAATTACTAATCTCAAGGTCATAGGTTTGACTTCTACTGGAAGCACCTGGAGTTCTTTTTTCCAAGAATGCCGTGTCATTTTCTGAACATACAAATTTTGTCCAAAATAATTTTGAAGAAGCATTGCCATGATTTTGGTGTTTTCTCTCTTACCAAACAATACTTGGTTGTTTCCCCTCAAATTGTCAATAATTTCCTAGTCTGAAAATTCAAATTTATACCTGTAACAATCGCCAGGAACTTGACATTGGAACGCCCTAGGAGGGCCACCATCTTCTGCAAACCTCCTGCCAGTCTAACAGCCATCTTGGCACCTTCTTGGTGGAGCAGAAGATTGTGCAGGGTAGTGATGGCATAGAAAACTACTGCTTCCACAGGGGACCCAAGCAACCTGACTAGAGCTGGGATGCCACCAGATTTAAAGATGGAGAGCAAGCCTTGTCTGTAGCAACATAAAAAAATTATTTAAATAATAATCACTACAGA